CATCCCACGGCAGAGGCTGGGGCTCAGGCCCCGCCTCATGGGAAGGCTGGGGCAGCACCCAGCCTGGGAGAGCTTGGAAGCCTCAAGCCCTGGGGAGGCCCCTCTCTCCAGAAGCCACATCCCACTGAAATGAGTGCCCCCCATGAGGAGCTGCAAGACCTTGTCTGACCAAGCCTCCTGGAGGGGTCAGATGGCCCTCATGGGGAGCGTCACTGACTCTGGGGATTGAAGTCCCAGTGGGCCCAGCTCAAGCCACCAGCCCCCAGCCTTGAAGGGCCGGGTCCTCCCGTGCCTGCTGTCCCCGTAGATCTCTCTCAGGCTCAACCTGCACCTGTGGGACGTGTATTTGCTAGAAGGGGAACAGGTGTTGACGCCGATGGCATGCACTGCCTTTAAGGTTCAGAGGAGTAAGTCCACGTGTGTCCAGTGGGACCTGGGGAGTGCTGCGGTCAGACTCTCACTGGCCTGCAGGCAGCTTCCTCACACTGTCCCCATGATCCTCTGCTCTGGCCCAGGGGGACGTCTGGCCAGGTGGGCTGGGCAGGGCACAGTGACACCAAGCCCACCTCCTACATGTTCCAGATGAAAGTTGGGAGTGTGGTGAGTACTTCCCTGCCCAGGCCAAACCCCAGCCACAGCCTCCTATGCACATCTGGACCCCTGGGGTGGCCATAAAAGGATCCGGCACCGCCCAGCGGGAGATGGTTGAGGTGGCAATGAGGTATGGGCTCTGACCCCTCCCAGGGAACTCTCCTGGCCTGATACCCACCCTGTCCCTAGAGGGCCTCATGAAGACATCCAGGTTTGGCCCATGGGCACATTTTCGGGGCTGGTTCTCCCATACCTAGGCCCTGGGTGAAGATGCAGTTCTCAGGCACCATCGGGCCTCTACGAGGAAACTAACAAGGAAGCATGGGGACCTGCCACCCCCAGGTGGGCTTCCGTACCAGGTCCCCTCCTGAGTCACCCTCTGGGGAGTCAATAGTGGGGGAGTGCCCCGGACCCCCAAGCCCACTACCTGGGTCTTCCTCGTGCGCCTTTTCTTCCTCCTCTTCCTCCTGGACTCTAAGGACGTACAATAGGCCCCCCGGTCCTCAGGGCAGGAGCTCAGTGCGTGTGCACTGGACATGCTGTGCAGGCAGGAGAGGGATGTGGGCAAGACCTCTCCAACAAGCCCCCTCCCACTTTTCACGGTGTCCCACCCCACCCCCCACGGGGCCCTTAATGGCACTGGAGGAGCCAGACCCATTTGTGGGACCCCCCTGCCCCTCCCTGCAAGCACTGACAGCCTCAGAGAGCAGCATAGGTCCCTCACTCCTGAACACGCCTCCCAGGGTGCCAGGACAACAAGCCTTGAGCCAGGGAGACAAGGGAATCAGTGTCCCTGACCCCCAGAGCATTCAGGGCAAGGGCACAGGTGGGACCCCTGGCCAGAGCCAGAGCCAAGAGTTCATTCAGGTGTGGGAATGGTCTGTCCTGGCATGGACTGGGCAGCCCAGGAGGGCAGAGGGGGCCCCGTATCTGGGCCCTCTTACCCACTGTGGAGACATGTCCCCACGTGAGGTGGCAAGGGGGCTGGGTGACAGCCAAGGCCCCTCCCACCTGAGTTCTGACAGGGGATTGTATCCCAGGCCCAACAGCCCTGGGATGAGGGCATCGGGCAGGAAGCCCCCAGCCAGCCTGAAGCCTGGGGGGCGGTCCCAGGAGCCACCTGCTGTGTCCCGACAGCTTCCCCACCGCAGGCGACACACACCCCTCCCTCCAGAATCAGCAGCCTGCAGGTGTGTCCTCAGTGTCAGACCCCAGGGGCCGCACACAGACCCTGCGGACTCCAGAGACCCAGGCAGGTGGGGCCCGGCCCAGAAAGGACTCTTTGGGCCCACAGCGGGTGCTGTCTGACCACATGTTTTTCAGCCAAACCCAAGCAAGTGTTCTCGGCACCCAGGCCTGTGCTGGTTTCATATGAGAGGAAAGCCCTGTGCAAGGGGGATGGGCAGGCCCCTCCCTGCCCACCAGCCTGGTTCCAGCGGCCCATTTGGTCCACTTTCCCGCCATGGGTTCCTCGTCTTGTCACACCCTGTCCTGGTGGGGCTTCCATGTGGCCCAGGGGCATGAGGGGGCTTCTGGGGAGCCCAGGGCAGCAGGCTACTCTCTGGGGGCACCCAGGATTTATGGTGTGCCCAGCCTGGCCTTGGCTCAGGGAGGACCTCAGGGTTCCTGGAGGTACCTGCAGCGGAACTCCATGCTCCGACTCCCAGTGGACTTGGATGTGGGGGGCCCTTGGTTCCTTTATAATTTCAAACTGAGCTGCTGGGCTCATGTCCTTTCTGAATGTGTCCTGGACAGCCCCGGGACCATGGGGCAGGCTTAGCCTGGGAAGCTCATGGGGACCCCGATATCAGGCCCTGCCCAGGCCCATCAGGACTAAGAGGGAAGTTGGGAGATGCCCCCACTGCAGCATGGGAACCTGCATCTGGCCCCCTTGGTGGCGAGTGACTGGCTTGCCTAGAAGGAACCAGGGTGGCACCGCAACAGCTGCCCTGCAGCCCCAGACACCTTGGAAAATGCTGTTCAATGAGGAAGCTGGTCCCGTCAAGGCCATGAGAGAAAAAGGTGAGCATGGCATCCCCGCAGCCCAGCCAGCCAGCACCATGCCCTGGATCCTCGATCCCAACCTGTGGGACAGTGTCCCCCTCCCAGGGCACAATTTCTAGGCCAAGAGGGGCCTGGTCTAGACCCCAGCCCTGGAAAGAGTGGGTAACCAGGGATGTGGCGGGCTCCCAGCTGCAGTCAGCATGGCCATGCAGGGGACCCTGGCACTGCGGAGCTCTGCACTGTCACAATTCACCTTGCAGAGGCCGGCGAGATCCCGAAGCCTCGCAGCAACTGTGGCAGCCACAGCAGGCGCCACCACCATGTGCCTTCCAGCTGCCAGTGCAGGGTTTCCTGACAGCAGGGTGCCCTGCAGCCCTCTCCTCGGTGGCTCAGACGCTGAAGGTATCCGTGGTTCATGTTTCCAGTGCTCCCACCAAAGAGAATTACTACGCAGGATGCTCTTGTCCTGAGGTGAGCAAAACGGCACGCTGTGTGGATGCAGCTGGCGTCTTTACCGGCCACCATGCTTGCTGGATGGGCCCACGGAGCAAGTGGCCTTGAGACAGGCATGGGAATGGAAGAGGCTCAGCATCCTGCACGTGCCCTTACCGAGGTCACCAGGCTGACAACATCGCTCGTCTGTGAACGAGACACTTGGTCTCATGCCAATCCCGGGGTTGGCACCATTTCCCAGGAGGACCAGCTGGCCACCTGCTGGCAGGTTAATCACACTGCGGAGGGGGCTGAGATTGGCTTTCACTGCACCGAGCCACAACGTGGACATGGACTTGCTATGGACACCCCATTCCCAGCTGGGGATGTGCAGCACTGCGTTCCCACCTCGGGGCCTTAACTCTGCCACCTCTACTTGGAATGTTCTCAGTTCCTTCCAGGCTTCTAGAAGCATCTGGGCCAGAGCTCATGGTTGGATAAGCACCCGAGGCCCCACAACCCAAACAAGCTTCCCATCCTCATTTTACTTTTTGTCAAACTTATGAAAATTTATTAAGATATGACTTACATCCCTGGTAAGTGCACTGCTCAAAAGATATTCACACACCAGCCCCTAGATCACAAAGCCAACCACGCCCAGCCCCTCCCAGCACCCCCAGCCCTGAAACCAGTGTTCTGACTTCTGACCGCACCATGAGCCTTCCTTTTGTACTTTACACTCATGGAAGCATAACCACCTTCATGTTTTAAAATAAATGTTTACTTTTGAAATAATTTTAGATACACAGAAAAATTGAAAGGTACTATAGTTACTCCTACACTTTCCATCCAGCTGCCCTTAATAACGAGATTTTGCATTACCATGGCACATTTGTCCAAACTAAGAAATTTAGGTTGGGTGGGCCACGCGGGGTGGCTCACACCTGTAATCCCAGCACTTTGGGAGGCCGAGGCGGGCGGATCACGAGGATAGATCGAGACCATCCTGGTTAACACGGTGAAGGCTCGTCTCTACTGAAAATACAAAAATTAGCCAGTGTGGTGGCGGGCGCCTGTAGTCCCAGCTACTCGGGAGGCTGAGGCAGGAGAATCACTTGAACCCGGGAGGCAGAGGTTGCAGTGAGCCAAGATTATGCCACTGCACTCCAGCCTGGGTGACAGAGACTCCGTCTCAAAAAACAAAACAAAACAAAACAAAACACAACCCACAAAACAAAAAAGAAATTTAGGCTGGGTGTGGTGCCTCACACCTGTAATCCCAGCAATTCGAGAGGTCGAGGCAGGAGGTTCAGGTTCACTTGAGGCCAGGAGATTGTGATTCGCCTGGGCAACACAGATAGACCCTGTCTCTGGAGGAAAGTAAAAAAAAATTAGCCAGGCATGGTGGCGTGTGCCTATAGTCCCATCTAGTCAGGAGGCCGAGGCGGGAGGATTGCACACACATGCCTGTTGTCCCAGCTACTAGGGAGGCTGAGGCAGGAGAATTGCTTGAACCCGGAGGTCGGAGGTTGCAGTGAGTCGAGATCTCGCCACTGCACTCCAGCCTGAGCGACAGAGCAAGGCTCCGTCCCAGAACCAAAAAAAGTTACGATGTAAAGTACTAGTTGTGATGTCACGATGCCTGCAACTTTGAAATAGTTTAACGACAATACATGCATACATAGCTACAGGTGGGGAGAGAGCAACCAGCAGAAATGGCACAGTGCTGGGTTGTCTGATTGAGGCGGAGGAATACAGGTGTTCATTGCACTGTTTTCAACTGTTCCGTATGCGTTAAAATTATCATAATACAATGTTAGAGCGGGAAAAACCCGCCTTTCTTCTGCGCAGGCGCCGTGGGCACGAGCCGCACGCGGAGCCTTACGACTCCCTTGCGGTCCCACGGGACACACGCCGCTCCAGCCGTCCCTCCAGACTCCATCTGCGCATGCTCATGCCCCATCGCGCCCGCCCCGCCCCTCGGGCGTACGTGGGCGCGCAGGGCGCAGGCGCGCGGGTCCCGGCAGCCCGTGAGACGCCAGCTGCTGGACGCGGGTAGCCGTCTGAGGTGCCGGAGCTGCGGGAGGATGGAGCCGCTGAAGGTGGAAAAGTTCGCCACCGCCAACAGGGGAAACGGGCTGCGCGCCGTGACCGCGCTGCGCCCCGGAGAGCTGCTCTTCCGCTCGGATCCCTTGGCGTACACGGTGTGCAAGGGGAGTCGTGGCGTTGTCTGCGACCGCTGCCTCCTCGGGTGCGTGTGGGGCGCCCTCGCCCACCTGAGTCGCGTGCTGTGTGGGCTGCTGGGGGCGTCGGGCGGGCGGCGGCCCCGGGACTCCTGCTGGATGGGGCTGCACCGGCAGCTTGGCGGGGCTGCCCCTGACGCGCGTGTGCCCGGGGGCGGGTCGCGGCTGACAGGCCCCGCCCGGACACCCCCCTCGGTTGCCGCAGCGGGGCTGGGGAGGGGGCCCGGGCTCAGCCACTGCCCCCCAGCCTGGGCTGCGGTGGAAATGGGAAAGCCGTTGGGCAGACTTAAGGGGGAAGCGTTGTGCCCGGTAATTTTGCTGGGAAACCAAAAGTCGGCGTCCTGTGCGACAAGCGTCCTTGGTGCGGCTGTGGAGATCACAAGTGGCGGGCGTGGGGTGGGTGGGAGCCGGGATGTGTATACATCAGGCTCCCCTGCGGAGGCCCCGCCGGTGAAGCGTCAGGCTTGCAGGAGGTGGAAGAGTCTTGATGTTTACCGTGCACGTCTGTGGTCTGGGTTCTGGGAGGCCTGGGGATACGATGATGAACGGGACCTCCTTAAGGAGCAGATGAAGTGACAGAGATAATTGCAGTGTACCAGAAGGGCTGAAATAGAGGGGCAATTAATGTGCGGTGGGAGCATCAGACACGGGTCCCCCGTGTGCTGTGCCGTTTAATGGCTGTGCAGGCGTGTCTAACTCTTAACCACCTTTCTAGATGCAGGGATTCACGTGAAAGTGTTTTGGAAGCCTGGACGCACTGTGCCGGTGTAAAGTGCTATGTGAAAGCAATTTATGGAAATGTGTAACATACATACATAGTCATGGGAATTGCATTCAGTCAACAAATACTATTGAGCTTCTGTGTGCGAGGAAGAAGAGTTCTGTTTTGAGACGAGTACAATGATTTTGTGCATGGCCGCTTTTCAGACCTGCCAGTCTGAGATTTAGGTGGGTGGAGGTGGGACGGTAAGTGCAAAACTCATATCTGTAATTTGACCGTTGTTCTTACTTTGTTCTTATTGATTCATAATTCAGGAATATGACTTTGCATTTTAAAGCTACCAAATAATAATTTTGTCTGTTGCTTTCTGAAGTAATGATAACAGCGAAAACATCTGTTTGGGAGAGAGAGCAGCACCTTGAAGTTTTTGTAAACTGTGTGGTTGAAAACAATTCATTCATTTCAAGATAGTTCTTGGAACAGAAAAGTTTTGGAATGAATAAATGGTGACAAATTGGCAATTCAATCATTAGAGCTGCACTTGAGTCCTGTGACACACGGAATTGTGCATTTCCAAAATAAACTACACAAACCCTTTGTGGGCGGGATGCTTGTTAATTTACTATACTATTTCATTAGTCTCATTAATTTTTCCTGTTTGCAGTAACTGTGGGGATTTAAGCAAAAAAGGAATTTCATGAAAGAGTACCGGGGGAGTTCTCAGTGTTGCTTTAAAGTCTGCCGAGAGCTGACTGGACATGGGCCGGAACCAAGTCAGGATTGCACTGCAAAAGTAGTTGGGACTGGGGTCTGGGGAGTATATCACTTCTGTCGCCTGATAATATTGGATTCTGCAGTATGCACCGCGAACACCATGGACACTGAACCCTGGTGCTGCTGCTGCTGCTGCTCCTTGGGAATCTGGCTGTTGCTGGAGAGTTATTCTCTCATCTCTCAACCATTCTTCTTTGTGGTACTAGCTTTTATTCAAAGTCCTCAGTGAGTGTTTTGGATTGACTAAACTTAGGTCACTGCCTGCACCCTAGCTGCAAGGGAGGTTGAGAAGGTAGTTAGCCTTTTTGGCTTTTAAGATAGAAGGCAGGCTCGCTCTACTTCCCACCCATAGTTATCCAGTGGGGAAATCAGCACACATAAACATAGAAAAAAGGATATAAGTAAATGCTAAGCATCTAAACAAAACAAGCTAAACAGATTCTTCATAATGACTAACAAATACTTATTAGTATTTTACACAGACACAAAATATTTGCACTTATTTTGGATTGCCAGGACACACAGTTCACTTGTGTTGTGGTAGTTAGTTGCTGTGTTTGAACACTCCCATTTTAGTGGTTATAGTGTCCCGAAGAGCCTGGTTGGGAATCACTACAACCTGAAAATACTGTTAGGGAAATGTTGGTGCATTGTTTGATGTAGTTTTCTGCCACTGTTGCATGCCTGTCCTTAAGGGATAAGTTTCTGTATTACTTATCATCTTGTAAGTAAAATTTGTTTCTCTTTATTCACTGTCCATTGTGAAGTCTTTGAGAATAGTGTGTCTTTCAATTTGTGTAGCTCCAGTGTCTAACATAGTAAGCCCTTAGTTTTAGTATGAATGTGTGGCAGAATTTTCCTCCTAACTGTCCCTGTCCTTCTGCCACCTTCCATCTGAATTAAGTATGGAATGAAAATGTTAGTTTGTAGCAATTAACAGTTACATGGGAAAGGAAAAATCATAATAGAATTAAAAAGACAGATATTGATAACTACAGTCATGCACTGCATAATGACATTTTGGTCAACGAAAGACCACATACATGACAGTGGCCCTGTATGGTTATATCAGGCTGGCTGATATAACCATACACCCAGGCTGGAGTGCAGTGGCCGGATCTCAGCTCACTGCAAGCTCCGCCTGCTGGGTTCACGCCATTCTCCTGCCTCAGCCTCCCAAGTAGCTGGGACTATAGGTGCCCGCCACCTCGCCCGGCTAGTTTTTTGCTTTTTTTTTTTTTTAGTAGAGACGGGGTTTCACCGTGTTAGCCAGGATGGTCTCGATCTCCTGACCTCGTGATCCGCCCGTCTCGGCCTCCCAAAGTGCTGGGATTATAGGCTTGAGCCACCGCGCCCGGCCAATTATATCATTTTTTAACTGTACCTTTTCTGTGTTTGGATACGTTTAGATACACAAATACTTATCATTGTCTTACAGTTACCTACAGTATTCAGTACAGTAACATGCAGTGCAGGTTTATAGCCTCTGCGCAGTAGGCAGTACAGACAATACCTGCTAGCCTAGGTGTGTAGCAGGCTGTACACTCTGGGTTTATGCAAGGATACGCCATGATGTTCCCACAACAATGAAATCACCTAATGATGTCCTTAAGGGATGTACAACTCTACTTCCTTAGGCTCCAGAAATAATGGTTACCAAGTTTTACATGAGTTCCTTTGGTCTAGAGCTGTTTTGATTAGTAGCTTTAGTTCTGTATACTTGTTTTTCTTAATGGAGAAAGGTGAACCTGCTTCAAGGCTTATCTTACCTTTTTCCTCTCATTAAGGAATGGCTTCTGGTTTTTCATGTTGTGCCTGGAAAAGAAAATGAAGTATGTAAGTTGTAGAAAGAGGAAATGGCAATGAAATTATAACCTAAAATCACTTTTTTTTTTAAGATGGAGTTTTGTTCTTGTTGCCCTGACTGGAGTGCAGTGGTGCGATCTTGGCTCACTGCAACCTCCACTTCCCGGGTTCAAGCGATTCTCCTGCCTCAGCCTCCTGAATAGCTGGGATTACAGGCATGTGTCACCACGCCAGGCTAAGTTTTTGTATTTTTAGTAGAGATGGGGTTTCACCACATTAGTCAGGCTGGTCTCAAACTCCTGACCTCAAGTGATCTACCCGCCTCAGCCTCCCAAAGTGCTGGGATTAAACGCGTGAGCCACTGTCCCTGGCCTGAAATCACTTATATTGTCCTTCTGCCATTGCATGCATTTTTAATTTGATGGAGATAGAAGAGGTTGATTGACAATTGAGTATGGGTTATGTGTATTTCCTGTTTGCTTTGGTCAGTGTAGCACATAAAATTCCATTGTTATGGTTTTATTTGTAAACCTTCTCACTCCCTAGTGTAGTGCTCTAAGTCTAATCTTCTTTATATCCCCAGGGCCTAGCACATGGGAGATGTTAATCATTCAAGGGTTAATATTTTGGGGAACTTTAAGTAGCTGTATGTTTGTTTTTGTTTTTCTCAAGTTCCAAGTTGCCTGCAGCTTCCATATCAAGAGTTACTTCTGGCAAACTCTAATGATAGTTTCTCCGGTAGGGTAAAGAGAATAGTTCATCCTGCATTAAGGCTGAGATGAGGCTTAGTGCCTCCCAGGAGGAAGGAGGATGACTTCGAAGTAGACGTGTCATCCCTTTCAGTCCTGGTGGATTGTGGGAAGCAGGGGGACAGAGGTAGGGAAAACAGATTGTGAGAAATATGTGTTCTGATCTTTCTTGGCTGGCTAAAGTTCTAGGGTTAGGGTGGGGATGTTAAATGGGTTGAGGGGACAGTCAACAGTGGAAGGCCTTTTGCTCTGCTCCTTATGTGGAATCTTGAGAGGAGATGTTATGCAGGTTAGTGATAGGCCGACACGGGCCTATAGCACAGCAGTGGTGGAAGGAAGTGGCTAGATAGTTGAGTTTGTGGTAGCAGGGGATTCTGAAATGCTCTCATACCACTTTGAAGGAGGTGGAGGAGCTTATTGGCATGGTGGAACTGCTGGCATCATGACAAAAAACTGTGTGACTATAGACTGGAGGTCAGGATCACAGACTCCAGGGATGAGAGCCAGCATGACATCCTAAAAGATGAGATGGGACCAGTTCAGCCATAGGACCTGATTACCTCCTTGCAGCAGAGACCAGTGAGGATCCAGAGAAACAACCCACATCCAAGGTCTTCTTGCCATTATTTCTTCTAGGATGTCCTATAAGACCTTGGAGGGAAACCTACCCAAAAGCAACCATTTAAACCAGCCCGGGTAAGGAGTTCAACCCAGTCTGAGTATTAACTGGAAGAGATTCAGATACCGTTTTAAACCAGCCCGGGTAAGGAGTTCAACACAGCCTGAGTATTAACTGGAAGAGATTGAGATACTGTTTTAAACCAGCCCGGGTAAGGAGTTCAACACAGCCTGAGTATTAACTGGAAGAGATTGAGATACTGTTTTAAACCAGCCCGGGTAAGGAGTTCAACACAGCCTGATGATGATATACTGTTTAAACCAGCCCGGGTAAGGAGTT